AGTAAACCGGACCCGACACAAATGCTCTGCTCGAACTGTTGCCCGTTGCCCGTTACCCGTTGTCTAACTCTGTGCATAACGCTTAACACTTAAGCTGCAGCCTGGCACTTGGCACTGGAGCCTGATTCCGTTCATCATATGTATTTTGTATTTGCATTTGTATCTGTATCTACACAGAACTGCAGCTACTTTTGCGACTGATTGCGAAATTTGTGCCACAAACCGACCGACCGACCGACCAGCCGACAATCGCCTCCAGTTCGTCTGCCCTTCGCCCTCTGCCTCCGCCCCCTCAGTAGCAATGACTCCTCTGTATTTGTTGATTACCAGGAAGCTGAGCGACACTCCTGATGATTTAACACAGAACACGGAAAACAGTAGCCGGTAACCGGTACCCGTAACGGACATTCGACTATGGCCTTGCACTTGTTGGGGGTTGGTTACTGCTTTGAGGGTTGCCGGATTATCGACATGTACAGGAAGAAGCACACGGCACAAGGTAATGCATAGTTTTTAAAAGCGCAGATCGAGATCTTAAAGATGAAATCAATTTTTGTTCTCTCTAAATGTGATATGCATATTTCACAGGGCATAAGTTAAAAGGTAAGTATATAGAGATAAAATTGATTTACATAAGAAGAGTTTGATTTGATATTTCTTCGTCCAATTCAATTTCCCAGCAATAAGGCTGGGATAGTTTCAATCTTTTTAAAAGCACAATAATTAGAAGACATGGGACACAGTTCTAAATAACTGGGCTTTAAGCATTTAATTTTCATAATTTTATGTATTCAATAATAAGAAAAATTAAATAAATAAGTAAATAAATAAATTTAGAGATCAGCTGCAGCATTTTTACTTATTGTTCCCATTTATTTCCAAGTTTATTCTATAAATATTAGATATTCGACTTTAAATATCTCAAGAAATGGTTTATGTAAAGGTCATATAAGTGATCTCCTACTCGGCAAATTAAATTATGAATGCCTTTAACAGAAAATTTAAATTGAACCTAACTGAAAGCCACACACACGCACACCTCCACACACACACACACACACACACACAGCCATGCATGCACATGTCGATCCGTTTGGCATGTGCATAATGTGAGGAGAAATCGCGTATTTTTGAATCCTGAGCAGCCGCGTTCGCTTATGCATACAGCAAGAGCCGCCTGGCTTATGTCAGCTGCTGATGCAGCAGCTATAGCTACAGTTCCGTGTACCAAATGGACGGTGACCCTGGCAACTGCAGCAACAATAACAAAGCTCTGCCCAAACAATGTGTGGAGGTCAATTGGGGCTGGATGGGGACTCCGGGCCAGCTGGAGCTCTGGTGAACGCGTTGATCCACAAACGTGTCGTTAATTAAGGCGCAGTGATTTTCAATTGCAGAGCGCGACACAAGCACCGTCTATGTGTATGTGTGTGTGTGTGTGTGTGTTCGGCACGTGTGTGTATATGTGTGCATAAGCTTATATAGGTGCCAGGCAAAGCAGCAGCTGCCCGCCTGCATATTGACAAGTGCGGCCATTGGGGATTTATTAAGGCTAACGTATGAAAATGTTGCATACTAAACGCTGCATAAATCGAATCGAAATCAAAATGCGACAAATAAAAACTGCACAAAATGGAAAGCACAGTAGAATGTGCGTCTGTGTGTGTGAGGGGGTGAGTGGTTGGGTGTGTGTGTGTGTGTGTGAATGGGTGTGCGTGTGTGGGTTGGGGGATAAATATCGTGTTGCGTCGCTGAGCAGCTTAGGCGTAATAAACACACGCACACGAAAACAAACAAACAGATTTACATATAAGACTCATACACTCACAACGCACACACACGCACACATACACGCACACACACACACACACGCAATCGCATGGCAAGGACAATGTTAAATGACAACAGCAACAAGGGTACAAAATAACCTTTCCATTCGCTTGATGCCGTTTTGCTGTGCAAATCCTCAAAATACACTACAAAACACATTACACACACGGACACACACGCACATTCACACACACGCACACACACACACACACACACACACACATATTTGAGTGAGCCATTCACAAATTCAAATCTAACACACGTTTCTATCCAACTATCATGCACATGCCACCTGATCCGACCCTGCCCTACCGCTTCAGGGAGCCGCCTTTCAATTCGTACCAAACCCCATCCCACCCCCTCACACACACATACACACACACACACACATCCCTCCTCCGCAGAGGCAACGATTTAGCCAGCAGCTTAACAGCAATAGGGACGGCAGCAAAATTTTGGCTCAATTCGTAACGTTCCTTCAAATTAAATGCAATGCAAAACGTTTCCAAAAATATGCTCTATGCAAATATTAGCGGATTACCAAAAATATTCCGGAATATGCTGAGCAGTAAAGCGAATTTATGAATGCATATCTAGAGAGAATGATTCCATATATAAGGCAAAGCTGATTACTGGACATCGAATGTGAATATATCAGATGTCTAGGCATCGGACGAGCAATCGGTTAGTCGCTGGCTCAAATCTAGCAACATTTTTTTTATATTTATATTTTTATGAATTTGTTATTCTTTTCTCTCGGATCTGTAGGCGTCGGATTGGCAAGCGGTAAGTCATCGATTCAAATCTAGCAGCATATTTTCCTATTTAGATTTGTCTATAGAATCTTCTCTCTTTCTCCTTCGCTTTCTTTTTCGCATATAAGTAGACCTTATATTCGAGCATTTCTCTACCATTTCTATCTACATATTCTGGGCATACTCATACATATGTCGAGCACTGTAGCTCACTTTGTAAAACTGAAACCTTTCGCTTGGCAATTGAAAACTTACAAACGCTGCTGCCGGAGAGACCATAAATTGGCCATAATACCACAACAACCTGTTGAGCTAAAAGGCAAATACACCCGAAAAAAAAGAGAGCAGCGCGAAAGCGTTGCGTATACGCCGCGAGTGCCGGCACAAGGAGGCGAAGGAATCAACTGAAACTGTCACGCCTCCGCGGCCTTGTTGTTGTAGTAGTTGTTGTTGTTGTATTGGCCACAGACACAGCCACATGGCCAAAATAGCTCCACAAGTGTCTGCTGACGTTCATTTGACGCAACAGCACACAACAACTCTGATTGTGGGTTGGTGGGTGGCTTGGTGTGTGTACTTGTGTATGTGTGTCTCTTCGTGCTCTCGACAGCCACAACCAAAGCAAAACGAATGCTTGTTTGCACACAGAACGAAATGGAGAGAGAGGGAGAGCGAGAGAGGGCGAGCCGTTGCCAGATGGAAGGTAAAATAAATGTTATGAATGCTTCATATGCTTAATCCAGGGGATTTGGATGCATATACGATGAGTTTATGTGTACTTTGTGTGTGTGTGTGTGTGTGTGTGTGAGAGTGTGTGTTGTGTTGTGTCTGTTATGCCAAACAGAACCAAACGAACAGACTCTGTTTGTATTCGTATGCAAAAGGATTTTAGATTCGGCAGCGACAATCTATCTGACAGATACACCAGCTACCAGATACCAGCTACAAGTATCTGTATCTATGTATCTGTATCTGTACATGATTGTGAATGCGTACAGCTAGACTCTTTGTCCATGGCTAAACTAGTATTGATGAACTAAACAAGATTACCGCAGCAGAAGGCCACTCAAAGAAGCGACAACCAGAGGCGGATGTGTGTGAGAGCGATGGAGAGAGGGAGGGGGAGAGTTAGAGAGTGTGTAGCCTGCACATTCTGCGTACGTTCATAACCCGGTTAAAGTTGCACAAATCCTTAAAGCTGCCATGCAACATGGGGCACACACATAATCACCAGTTGCCAGTTGCCAGTTGCCAGTTGCGAGTGGCACAAAAGGCTTCGGCCACTGGCATTTTTATAATGATGTGGTTGCCCCTCTATTATTGAGCGCTCCACAGCGGCTGATACTCTATCGCAACCGGATTAAGGGTATTTGTGTGACGGCACGGAAACAGCAAAGCGAACCCGTCCCCGACCCCTACCCCGACCGTTCGCTGGGCGGGATTTAGGCTCACGGATTTGTGTGATTTATGCAACATTTCGTTCGGCTTTAGTCGCAATTTGATTGCAATATTCCAATACTAAGGGCGGACGCCTCTTCTAATCAGATATGAGGTATATAAATATATTCAAATATATATTTGCTGCCTGCCTCAAAATAGTGGAAACTTTTCTAATTTAATCTAATTAATATTCGAATTTCAACTGGATATAGCACATTATATAAAATGATTTTGTGTAAAGCGATTTATGGTGGGATTTTCTGCGTACACTTTAATGTATTCTATGCTTAGCTGGTATTAAATATCTCATTTGCTAACTGGTTTTATGACGTTGGCTAAAAACTAAACCGCAAAAGCTCTTTTGAAAGCCGTTTAGGCAAATTTATGTAAATTTAAAGGCTTTCAAAATAGTTTAAAAAGTTAACATAATTTTGTCTACACTTCGCTTTCTGCCTCTTTCCTTCGCTCTCTTCCTCCATTTATCTCTTTCTCTCTCGCTCTTTCTCTCTCTCGCTCTTTCTCTATACATCTCTTTCTTGTTCTTTTTCCCTTTCGCTAAACAGCTCTTTCTCGCTCTCTCTCTCTCTCAATCTCCCGCATTTCTCTTACTCATTAACTCAACCTATGTCTTCTTTCTGTGTAAATTGTCTGCAATTCTCTATCTCTCTCTTTCTCTCTCTCCCTTTCTCTCCTTCTCTAACTCTTTATCTAGCTTCCTATTTCGCTCTCCCCACCTGTAAAAAAAGTTCTATATATTTATATTTTTCTAATCCAACTCTAAGCACGTCTATCAATTTAGTTCTCCTTATCTATTTATAATTCTTTTTCTCTAACTGCATTTATTCCGCTTGATTACATTTTCCTACAAATCTCTTCTCTGCATTTCTCACTTTCTCTCTTTCCTTAACCTTAAACAACCTAATGCCTAACAAATTAAACTTATATTTTATTTATATATTTATTTCGGGTACTCACGATTTACTTTGCTGACATCGAAGTCGCGTCGGGATTCCAAGGCCGGATGGCTGAGCAGCTTCTCGGCCTGCTGCTGTGCCTGGACGCCCACGGCCATGCCCAGGGCAGCTGGCGGCAGGCAGGAGATGCTGCCGCGCTCCTCACGCTCCCGCTCCCGCTCGCTCTTCGGTGTCGCCGCCAAGGAGGCATTCTGACTAGAGCCCGCCGAGGAGGACAACGCGTTGCCGCTGCCGGCGTCCGAGTTAAGCAAAAGTTGCTGCTGCTGCAACTGCTGCGATTGCTGCTGCTGCTGCTGTTGTTGTTGTTGTTGCTGTTGTTGCTGTTGTTGTTGTTGTTGTTGGTGTTGTAGCTGATGTTGATGCGGCACCAGGCCCACAGCAGGCGGACTGCCCTCTGTGGAGCGTCGCCCGACGGCATTAGCTGCCTCAGAGCCAGCCTGTTGCTGCTGCTGCTGCTGTTGTTGTTGTTGTTGTTGTTGCTGCTGCTGCTGCTGGTGATGCTGATGTTGCATCTGCAGCTGTGTCAGCTTCTCCTGCACGCCCTGCAGCGAGGAACGTCTGTGCTGCAATTGGCCAAGGCCGGCGCCGGCTTCCTCGGCGATGACACTGTGCGTCGGCGACAGCGAATGCTCCTTCTTGACGGCCATGTCCATCAGGCTGGCGGCAGCCGATGGCGATTTGGCATTGGCATTGGCAGCAGCCACCACAGCCGCCGCATTGGCTGCACGGGTGAGCGCTAGGGCCTGGCTCTGTTTGTGCGAGAAATGAGTACAAATAAGTATCAAAAATTAATGGGAATGGAATCGGAAAAAACGCATCCCGCGGATAAAAGCACTTTTTATTAAATTAATTTAAGTTTTGCAAATATGGTCACACTTTCAATGTTTGATTCTTAATATTAATAGCACTTGACTAGGTTTAGAAAGAAAATGAAAATCTTCAGACGGAATCGAGTTTTCTCTGCATGCTCGTGCCCAACTCCAGCATCGGACTATAACTATTTAAGTGCCTATTGATTTATTTGTCTAGCTAAGTGTTGATTCGGTTTCAATGCGCAAAAATTTCACTTGATTCTTCACTTTTATTCTGTGCACCTAAAAATAACAACCCAAATTTCTATTGTATTGATTGATTAAGTCCACAATGGCCCAAACTCGCATCGATAGTGGCAGCTCTCCAAAGAGTTTGCAAGACTGCAAGCTGCTGACAGGCGTTGATTTCTATTGATTTGTGTGCGCCGCTCGTTTGGGGGCGCCCGATTTGTTTGCTTTCTATAATTTGGCAGGTAATTTGGCGAATCACGAAATTGTCTTTAATGACGCGAGGCTTAAGACTCTACCGAGACGCTCCACTCCCCCCTTGCAGGCCCGCTCCGCGGATCGAACCCAACTCTTTGCCGCTCAGCGGAGCGTAACTAAATTAATGTTTCTTCCAACTCGTCCTCTTTTTTTTTGTTGCATACAATACGCGTTTTATTGGAGCTATTAATAAGCGACTGAAGCATTGAAATCGAGTGGCAAGTGAAAAAGTTGAACCAGCGACCTGCCGACGCTAAGGCGCATAAGCCACGCAGGAGAAATTGACCATGGAGCGCCTAGGGAATCTCTGGAGCCGGGCACCTCAATTATAGCTCGGGCTACCGTTTACCGTTTGATCCTGCTCGTATTTTTTTTTTTTTTTTTGGGCCTGATCTTCGCCTGGCACGCAAGGAATTCCTACACATATTTCTTCTGATATTGGTATTTTTTTTTTTAGCCGCAAAATTATGGTATTCGGATCTGCGCTGATCGTGCGGATAAACTTAAATCGCGCCGATGCGAAGACTGCGAAGGTTGCCTAAGCACCAGAACCATAAACTCGACAGCTTCTGCTCCTGCGCTGCGCTTGCCTCTGGCTAGTTTGTCAAATGCCAGACAAAAACTTGCCACAGCCTCGAATTGCCAAAAATGTGCGGCAAATGCAGCTGAGCATGATAAACTATAAGATACCCTGACAAAAGACATAACTGGATCCCGGTCGAAACATCAAAAAATCTACATAAGGAGTTAATGAACTATGTTCTACTGTCTAATCCTCTAGGAAATTCTTCTTTTAAATTTATATAATTTTATTCTAGTGTCTAATTCAGTCTGCAATTGTGTTTAAATATTTTGCATATAATACAAAATGTATATTAAGTCTTTAATTTTAAACAATTACATGTTAGACGAAGCCTTGCTTATTTCTCTCGGAATGCAGGGTAGAAACTTGTTGTGGAATTTAATAAGAGGTAGCAAATAGTGTGCATCATTTTGGCATGCTGAAGAGCAACCCGATCGAGACGGCGTCTGCTTTCTACAGTAGCCGCATCGAGTTAGCGATCAGCGACAGCAGCCATCGATCTTATGTTATAATCATCGTCAGAGTCTTGCCCAGCCACAAAATTCATTTACGCTTTAATCAATTTCATTCAGGCCAGAGACTGGGACTGGGACTGGGACTGGGACGGAGACTGGAACGGAGCCAAAGTGGAGCTCGAGTCGAGCAGCTTTTTGGCCTAAGGCAACTGCCCGACAATTTCAGCTTACATTGATCTTGGCCGGAGTGCAGCATATTACGACTGCGACGGCGACGGCGACGGCGACTGCGACAGAGACTGTGTCCGGTTGCCCAGTGCCACGCCCCATTGTTGGCTTCTGTTGGCCACATGTCAAAAAATTGACGAAAATTCGATCAAAATTTTAATTGATCGCCCTGCAGTGATGCGGTCTCCGCCAAAAATTGATATCGAGCTGTGCGTAATTTTCGGTTGCCCTCAGCCCCGCCGGCCGACAGACTCGTGTTGTGATTATGTTAATAGAGGTAGTTGCCCGCCGCCCCGCTGGCCCCCCACCCCTCGAGGGCCGGAAACTGAACTGCCAACGGCCAAATCGCATACACCATGTAAGAGAGAGCCCGTCCAGCTGATCCTGTGCCCGCATAATATGCTAATCTTAAAGCTCGAAACTATAAGTAAAGCCTATCAGTGTGCTCCAGATCTGCCGCTGGAGCAACCAGGAGGAATATTAACCTGTCAAAGACCATAATTGACAACGATTAACTTTGTCTTTTGTTCAGACAAAATTTACATTTTTATGGTTCAATAAAATAAATCAGCGCAGAGAAGAAGCAGCCGTAGCCAGGCAGCACAGTGGCTGCGAAAAGTAATTGCAGCACATAATAATCTCGCATTTAATAATCCTCATTAAAGCGCAGCAGCCGCGGCAAAGGGTAGCAAAAAACAAAAAAAAAAACCAAAAACTCGAGAGACAATCTCAACTTGTAGAAATATCACCACCTTGAGGGGCAGGCATCTGGAACCCGGGACTCTGGCCCAAAATTAGAGGGGACCCAACATTTTTGGGTCTGCACAAACTACAAAATTCCAAACAAGCAGCCGAACAAGCTCCAAAAAGTGGTAGCAGGCAGCGCCAAAAGAGGGGCGCGAGGGAGCTGGGAGCACAGTCAGGGGGCACTCTCGCATCAATCGATGATATGATGAGCTGACGTTTGGGTTGACGTTTGCTTGTCGTCAATACGTCGCCCTAATAACACGTCGCAACAGGTAGTCCCCGGCCATCAAGAGCAAAAGATACACAGATGCAAGAGCTAAAGATATACAGATACAGATACACACACACACACACACACACACACACAGATACATTTTGGGGCGCTACGGAATTTCAGCAATTGCATGAAAAATATGAAATTAGTTGGCTGCGGCTGCGATGTGTGGAAAAAGTCGTCAAACTCAAACTCAAACTGAAATTCAGACTCGGCAGTCTCCGCAGTCTTCAATCTCTGTCTTCAGTCTTTGGTTTCTTCTGCGGCTACTGGATTTTTAATGTGTTTTAATCATTCGAGCAGTTGCTGCCTGCCCCAGTTGAACTTCCCCCTCCATGCCCTGCAAGCACTCCGCGTCCAGCTAAATTGTTTTTTATTATCGAGTGCGCGTTCGCTGTGGCGATTTTCATCTCTCTGATCCTTGTGCACATCGTGGCACATTCCATTCGGGCTATAAATCGTGCGGGCCTGGCACCATGGCGCTGCTTCTGCTGCTGCTTTGTCCCTTGTCCTTGGCAATATCACATTTGATTTACCAGCCATAGGCATTAATTGTTTTTGTGTCATTTAATCAGTTTTCAAGCGACTGCTGCGTGATGTGAATTCTGATTGTAGTTGCAAAAATCATCGACTGATCGATCGATCGATCGGTCAGTTAGTCTGGCAGTCAAGTAAGTGGAGCTCCATTGGGGCAATAGATCAGACCGTGTGCATAGATTAGCCAGAAGATTCTTTAATTTTGGCGATCGTGTGAGTTCTCTAATTAGTTGTCATCGATTTTTATAACTAACAGATAAAATTAATCAATTGATCGTGAGATCGTTTGTTTTGAGCTATGGATTTCTTTCGAATTCACGCTCGTGTTATGATCTAGTTACTGGTCGTGTGATCATGTGGGTTATTCAATCAATTTTGGTTCGAGTTTCGGTTGATATTGGGACTAACGCTTTAAGATCTGTACTGTAGATAGTGATCTGTTGCTGATCTAGTTCCCAGTGATTGTCTGATGGTGTGGGTTCTTACAATTGTACATTTATTTTTCTTATCTAGGCTAACCGTTCGTGTGATCATGTGATCGTGTGGCTGGCTTTTTCAATAATTTATCATGGCTCGAATTGTAAATTGAAATGTGTGCGCAGCTAAAACTGAACCCAACATGAGCAGATAAGCTGCTCAATCTTCCGGTGATCGTTTGATCGTGTGAGTTCCTCAATTAGTTGTCATAGCTAACATGGATTCTAATTGCACAGTTGTCACTGTCACTTAACGTGTTGCTGTCGTGTCGTCTGTCAGCCGGAGTAGGCGTTGATCGTCGATCGTCGATCGAGCAGCGAAGATCGTTGAATCTTGTGATCTTAATCGCTGACGGAGACAAGTTTTGCAGCGCAGCGCAGTGCCTACCAGTTCCATTGACATTCCTGCTTGTCTGAGATTATGTCTGCTTTAGACTTGTCTGGCTCTGGTTTACTTTTTGCCTGGTTTGTTTTATTTTATCTTGTTTTTCGTGGCCAATGGGCCGGGCAGCTACCACAGCGATCTTGGCAATACCATTACCATTGGCTGGGCTGGTTTTGGCCTTTTGCGGCCGCAGCGTGCGTTTTTGTGATTGGGTGTTGGGCCCGTTTTTATGCTCTTCGGCCTGTCTGTTATTAATTATCAACGTCGCAGACGCCCAGACGATCATCGTCTTCGTCATCAGCTGAAATTCCCAAGCGGTCAGAGCACAGTTTGTTGCGTTTTGGGGCATGCGGCATTTGGCATTCGGCATTCGGCTTTTGCGCAAAATATCATTTTCGTTGGCCTCAGAGAGCATCTCAGTTTCTTTCTTGCCATCAGCTTTGCCTTTTGGTAATTTGTATGAGATATTTGGAATTTCTTAACATTTGCCATTTATGTGCAGCTCCAACTTCAACTCCAATTCCAGCTCCTTTTGGCATGCCCTTAACGAAATTGTGATTAAGTGTTTCAATATTGAAGTGACGAAAGGCCCAGCTTGCTGATTGCCGGGGCTTTCCAGCAGTATCGACTTTTTGGGATACTCAGATTCTCTCTTCGTCTCCTGGCCTGGCTAGGAGCTGTAGCTGAAGCGAAAACGATGGCGAACATCGTCGTGCAAAATAATTAAAAATCAGCAAACGTTTTGCTCCTTGCCCCGGCACGACGC